CCACCCCCTTTTAAAGCCCCCTTCCTCCGCGGCCCCTGCACTCTTTGTGAATGAGGGCAGGGAACGCGGCCCTTCCCCCGCCCAGGAGCCACGCCAGACCGCCGCACTCAGAGGACTGTTTGTTAATAGTCCAATTAGATAATTGCCATCTTTCACTCCTTTTGCTCCGCATTTCCCATAAAGGAATGAATGGGGAGAGCGGCGTGGAGAGGGCTTCTGCCCCGGCAAGGTGACGAGAAGGGCTGGAGCATGCTCCTTGCACAAGGCCATGCGCTTGAATTGAATCATTGTAGCCTAATCAATGCTCTTATTGGATTACTGGCTGTTGCTTTTCTCAAAGATATTGTAGCAGAGACAATGAAATAGCTAGGGGAAAACTTTTTTTTTTTAAGCAGATCTCACAGTTGAGATTTTCTCTGCTCTCTCTCTCCCTCGCTCCCTCGCTCTCTCCCTCGCTCTCTCCCTCTCTCCTGCTGGACTCTCCGAGTACAAAGCTGCCCTTTGAATGGGCTGCCTCTGGGCTGCTGGAGGTGCAGGCATGAAAAAATCCAACTGGAACTAAATGAAGAGAGGTGGCAGTTTAAGATGGCTGTCAGCATGGAGGTGTGTTAAGGAGTTCTCGGACAGAAAGCTCGGCTTTTTTTTGAGTGTGGGGGAGATACTTTGGGGGGAAACTTTTTCTCCTCCCCACGCAGAGGCAACTGCTTTCTTCTGCGGCAGCGTGTGTGAGGGGCACCCCCTCCCTTCAGCTCGGTCTGGCGAGTGTGGAGGAAGCCCCTCTAGCCAGTATGTGAGCAGGGGGGTCAAAGGCAAAGGGAAAGTTAATAATGCCTGCTAATGGTACTAACAATTCAGGATGAATCTTGTCAAAAGTTTTTCTGGAAGTGTAGGTCTTTGATTGTGTGTTTCCTGAAAGCAAGACCAATCATTTCCGTTTGTTCACTGGCTAAACCCCTACTTGATTGGGGACAAGGACAGAAACCATCCATTACGATCTGATATATTATCCAAACAATTTAGTGTATTCATGAGGTAACCGAAACGTGGGGGCTGCGAAATTACCCGTAATCAATTGCAACAGCGAGTGCGCGTCCCCCCCGGGTGTCGGACAACTACAACTCGCCGGCGTCTCAGTCCCAGGCGGGAGCCGAAGCGTCGCGGAGTTGCGCTGTTCGCTACCTGATCGCCAGGCTGGGGACACTGGACGTGCTCGGAGGACGCGGGCGCTGACGAGGCGGCCTCGTCGCTGCTCCGCCGGGATCCCGGACTCGACCGACGTCTCCGCGAGCGCGCCACTCTCCGGCGCCGCTGGCCCCCCGCGCCCACCGAGGCCGCCCCGCGGGGACGTTCATTCCCGCCGCCCGACCGAGCGTAGGGGCTGCGTTGTAGGGGTTTTGTCTCCCTTTGCCTTTTTATTTTTCCTTTTTCCTTTCCTCTTCTTTTTCGTGTTGTTTTGCCTATGTTCGGGAAACCAGACAAAATGGACGTCCGGTGCCCCTCGGACGCCGAGGCCGCCCGGGTCTCGAAGAGCGCGCACAAGGAGAGCCGGGAGCTCAAGGGCGCCGAGGGGAGCCTCCCGGCCGCCTTCCTCAAGGAGCCGCAGGGCGCCTTTTCGGCGTCGGGCGCCGCGGAAGATTGCAACAAAAGTAAATCCAATTCCTCAGCCGACCCGGATTACTGCCGCCGGATCCTGGTCCGAGGTAGGGATGGGCCGGGCAGGGCTGGGGAGCTGTTCTCGGGGCGACCCGGGCCGGAGCTGCGTTCCGCTGCCGACCAGGGAGGGGGTGCCGGCCAGGACTTGGGAGAAAGTTGCCGGGCTTCCCCGCCCAGCCCGGCCTCCGGAGACAAGCCTGGGGCTCACCTGGGCGCACTCTGCAGGGGCCTCGACCCTGCAAGCCCCAGGGGCCCCGCCGGCCCACTGCAGGGAGAGCCGGGGCTGCATGGCCTGCGCCGGCCACCAGGCTGCGGCCTCCGATCTGGGGAAGGAGCTGGGGAGTCCGGAGGACGTGTGCGCGCCCCGCGCGCTGGAGGACTTGCTGGGAGCGGGCCTGCGGGCTCCTGCGCCTCGGCGCGCTGAGCCTCCCACTGGAGCCCGCGCTTGGAGGAGCAGCCACCGGCCGCCAGCCACGGCCCGGCCAGTTGGCGCGCTGGGCCAAGGGCCCTGGCGCTGCGCTCCGGGCCCGGCCGCCGCTGCCAGGAGAAGCGGCCGAACTGGGCGCCAGGGCTACGGATGGCGCCTTCTGTTTGGCTCGGCCTCTCTCGAGAGCGGCGAGAGCTCAGCCCGGGCAGCGGCTGCGGCCAGGCCCGGCCCTAGTCCGGCGCCGCCCCCGGCAGAGAGCAGGGCCCTGCTGGCCTAGACTCCGTCCCTCCTCCTTCCGCCGCCCTGGTTCAGGAGGGCAGGAGAGTCCAGGGTGGGCGTGAGATCGCTGGAGCGCAGGCTGCTTAACAGCCTAAGGCCCGAAGAACCCTGGCTGGTCAGCGAGGGAACGCTCGGGCCGCAGGGGACCCGGATCGCACAGGGAAGCTCCCCAGACCGGGAAGGAACATCTTCCTATTTGGAATTGATTTTCCCCCCTCCCCTGTCTGGAGGTCCCTGCAAGGTCCGGTCCTTCCTCCTGTCAGTGATATGGTGTTACCCCACCACCACCACTGTCTGCTTCTCAGCTGTAGCTGTCCCCCACCCCACCCCACCCCTTGTAGGCTGCTGGGGACTGTGTCCCCAAAGCCAGCTGGGACCAAGGAGGTGGAGGGAGAGGGGAGGCTGGCGGCTGACATCTCCCCTTCCTCAGATGCCAAGGGGTCCATCCGAGAGATCATCCTGCCCAAGGGCTTGGATCTGGACCGGCCCAAGAGGACCCGAACGTCCTTCACTGCGGAGCAGCTCTACCGGCTGGAGATGGAGTTCCAACGATGCCAGTACGTGGTGGGCCGCGAGAGAACCGAGCTCGCCCGGCAGCTCAACCTCTCCGAGACCCAGGTACCCCGCAGCCAGGCTTCGCAGTTCTGTACCAGGCTTCTGCCCCACCAACACCCGCCTGCTCATTCTCATTACCTAACCCGGGTTTGGACAGTGCTTCTCAGGGGAGGTGGAGGAGACGACGGAGCCGATGGGGAAGAAAGATCTGAAGGTTTCTTCCCCTTTCATAAAGCGTCCTTTTCCGTGTAGATCCCTACGTCTTCCAGGGCCTACATTCTGTACACGTTGGCCTGGCCCAGGAGGCCCAAATTCTATCCTTTAGTAATTCATAAAGGTTTCCAGTCTTGAAAATTTTCTGCTTACTTCTGCTTGTACAAAGAATTGACTTTTTGTCTGTTTTGGAGATGCTATTTCAGCCAGATTTTTAGTCACCCCTCGCTTTGGGGCCCCAGCTTTACGAAGCACCCAGGCCTATTCTGCAGGAAGTGGGATTAGAAAGATACACAACTTTGAGATAGCTGTGTCCCAATCTGGCTGCCCCTGCCCTGATCCGTAATGTTCTTTCTGGTTTTGTGTTGTGCTGGACCCAGTCCTGAGCACCACTCTGGCCTCCTGGAAGGCCTAGTCTTCCATGCTAATGGTGAGACTTGAGATGGGAGATGGGAGATGGATCTCTTGGCTCTGGGAGCCTGCGCTTTAGGTCTTCACATCAAATCTGTGTGTTACCCAGTGTGACCCAGTGATCCCTGAGCTCAGGGTGACTGTAGGACTAAGAACTCTGGGGGCTGGCCGAAGCAGGCCCCCAGGTTGCCCTAGGTAAAGCAGCCTTCTTTCTGAGGACTAGTTCCTCTCTCAGTGCCCAGCTTTGAAGCAGGTGGGGTGCATTTTAAGCCTGGGATTTGGGTTGAATGCTGAGAACTGATGACAGAACACATGGGATGTTCCTTTGTAGTTTGAATTGGCATAGTAGGTTTCCCTCATCTTTCTACCACTACCCCTTTTTAGTTTTCAAAATCTAGACTGGATAGCTTTTCCATACAGCTGCCACACTCTATTTTGGGTGACTGCTAGGTCAGAAGAGGGGTAGAGGGAGAAGAGGAATTGAGAGGGCAGGCTGGTAGAGAGTAGTATTTGGTCTACCTCAGCCTCCTATCTTCCTTTCATGATTCCAAAGTTCATGATGGAGAAAGCAGGAGTGGTAAATTAAGAGTATCATTCAGACCCTCAATCCAGCTGGTAGTGAGGGAGTGGGGCGAGTAGAGAAAGCTTGGCCTCTAAATTCATCCTGCACAAATTATTCCTTTTACAGACACCTTGCCTGCTTGCTACTGGTTTATAGTCAAGTCAGCCTAACAAGCAGGAAACAACCACTTCGGGGGCCTTCAGCAGGAATAGTAATTCTGCGGCTAAATTTGAATGCACTGGGCTATGGCCTGGGTCTAAGGAAGGCTGAGAAACTCCCCTCTTAGCCACCTGCTCCCCACATTGCATCTTGATTCAAGCCTCACACCCTCTATTGAAAATTGGGGCTCTCTGGCCAGCTGATTGACACATCTATGAACCCCAAATCTCACTGCTGGTAACACGCAGCCCAGTGAAATCTTTCCTGTCTTCCTCTGAGTTAGTGTCATGGATGTTTTTATTGTTTTATTTTTTGTGACCGGCGCGGGCCTCAGCCTGCCTCCATGACCCGGAAGCTCAGCCCAGTGGAGCTGTGTCCCCCACCTGGCGGCTGCAGCTTCGCCGGGCTCTTGAGGGGCCGGAACCTCTCCGGAGGCCCGGCGGCTAGTAGGGGTGCGGCTGGGTAGTGCTATAGGAGTCCTCGTGCCCCTGGAGCCTGCTCCTTGACGCTTGTCTTCCTTGTTCCCCTCTTTCACCCTCCTCGTACCCCGACGCGCAGGTGAAGGTCTGGTTCCAGAACCGGCGCACCAAGCAGAAGAAAGATCAGGGCAAGGACTCAGAGCTGAGGTCGGTGGTGTCGGAGACCGCGGCCACGTGCAGCGTGCTGAGGCTGCTGGAGCAAGGCCGCCTGCTGTCACCGCCGGGCCTGCCTGCGCTGCTGCCGCCTTGCGCCACGGGCGCCCTCAGCTCGGCGCTGCGCGGACCCAGCCTACCGGCCCTGGGCGCGGGCGCTGCTGCGGGCTCAGCCGCCGCCGCCGCCGCCGCCGCCGCCGCCGCTGCCCCAGGCCCCGCGGGCGCGGCCTCTCAGCACCCACCGGCCGTGGGTGGCGCTGCTGGCCCGGGGCCCGCGGGGCCAGGGGGACTGCACGCGGGAGCGCCGGCCGCGGGCCATGGCCTCTTCAGCCTGCCGGTGCCCTCGCTGCTTGGCTCCGTCGCCAGCCGCCTGTCTTCCGCCCCGTTGACAATGGCTGGTTCGCTAGCCGGGAATTTGCAAGAACTCTCCGCCCGGTACCTGAGCTCCTCGGCCTTCGAGCCTTACTCCCGGACCAACAATAAAGAAGGGGCCGAGAAAAAAGCGCTGGACTGATTTTAAGTGTTTCCCTGTATTTATATTTATAGTATCTATTGTGGTGATATTTATGGATTCACGCGCGTTAGGCGCCCAGGGCTCCTGCGCTGGCCTCCTGGCTCCACCAGGCCTCTGACAGCTCTTACCACCAAGCTCTGCATCTCACTTGGGCTACTATCTTTTTTTTTTTCTTTCCCGCCCCGCCTCCAGCCCGCTTCCTTCTGAATGCAGGAGCGATCCAAAGAATTGAGGGGAATACCCGAATTAGCCAACCTGAAGTCCCAACCAATGCTCACCTCTGGAGGGCAAAGACTGGTTCTAACTCCGGGGCGCAGGACACCTGCTCTAGATCGGGCTGCTGGCGCTGCGGATTATACCTATGAATATTTGAAAGACGAAAGCTTTACGCAGACCCCAGGGGCTGAAAAAGCGTGCAGGTTTCTTTAGACCAAAAAAGGAGGACATTTCTTCCTCTTGCCAGAGAAACCAGGGCTTTTGGGAGCCCCTGGGCCCCCCCCTTTGCGGACCTCTCGAAATTGAAGATGCACACTTAGCTTCCTGGCGGACACTTTCTGCCGAGTTTTCCCTCTTTCAGGGAAACTCAGATCACAGCCGCCCTTGACCCCAGGGAAAAATAAACCAAGCATCATAGTAGGCAACGGTAGTGATAAATTTGATCTAATCAGCAATAAAGATTGATAATAACTACTACATCAAACCAGATGAAATGGAACCAGTTTTTAAATATTTGTAATAATGGAGTTTGGAAGGTGTAAGAAAGATCAGAATAGAGAATGCGCCACGGGGCAATGCAAAATTAAAAGTTCTGGGTGTTTTGACTTTAAACAGGAATTTAAAGGAGGGAAAGCAAAGAAAACGTCTCCAGTAAAGAAAAGTCAGACTCTTTTCTTCAAGGCTGTTTGGGGCAGTGCTGGACAGAGTCTCAGTCCTTCCCAAGAGCCCAGTGTGGCCGCAGGGAGCTGTCCGGACCTCAGCGCTTCGGCCCACGGCCTCTCAGACGCGTGGCTGGGGCAGAATGGCAGGGTTTGGAAACGAATCTTCACACCCATCGCCTCCTTTTCCACACTCCCAGATTAACAAAACCTTTCAAGCAGGCAAGGAACGCCTGGATTTCAGCGCAGTTCTTTCCCTAAGGGGAGGTAGGGACGCTGCCGGGTCGTCCCTCAAATCCCAAAGGTTTCCTGCGAGGCTGAAAGGCATTCACTGTCGCTCCCCAGCCACGGGGCTTTCGTGGTCCCAAGTCGGAACCCCGACTGTCGCGGTGGCGCGGCCTCACCCCTACCCTGCGCAGCGACGACAGTCCCGACAGCCACAGCCACCCGCATCTTAACCAAAATCACAGACCCAGACAGCGAGATGCGCAGTGTCTAGAATGTATTTGTCCCTCCGAAATGAGCGCAAACCATTTTTAAAAATAGTAACTTTATTGTAAATTATTTACGCTGGAAGCTTTTTTTCCCTTTCCCTTTTTTATTTTTATTTAGGCAAATAGTGAAAAAATAATGAATGATTCAAACGCGGGTAGGTGTCCCTGAATCCTGGCTACTAACTTTGTTCTGAATGTTTTGGCTATTTGGATGTTTTGTATTTATGTGGTGAGAGTGAAATATATATATCTATGATGATAAGTGAGGTGTATTTTTGTCTTATATTTGAAGGATAAAAATAAAAACAAAAAAGAAGAAAAAGAAGAAAGATCCAGGAAATGATGAGTCTCAGCGCGGGGACTCCTGGGACAGGGGGTGGCGGCAGCCGCAGTTTGGGGCCCTACAACTGGTACTGTGAACTTATAGGGTGAGGTGTGGGAGATTTTGGTTCCCAGAGAAACAGATGTCGATCTACAAGGACCCAGCATCCTTCCCCGACTCGCCCTCCAGAGCTCGGTTTGCTCCTAAAATATCGAGTCCCTCAGGCCCTCCCCCACCGTAAGTTTCTGGGTTTATTTAGGAACTTGTCTCCCATACCTAAAATCCCTGCCTCCTAACGCTGGCGGTTTCTAGAGTTTTCTAGCTGCATCTGCGTGTGGGATTTTATGCAATCACGGGGCCAGGACAGGAAAAATTTTATTCTCTTCTGACTTAGAACAAATCTCTCCGCCATCAATAGAAAAAGAAAAACCAACCTACCAAGCAAAAAAACAAAACAATTTTGAGGGAGCAAGAGAGTGAAATCTGTACTAACTCCTGGGAAAAGATTTCTCCCTCCATCTGGTCATCTGGTCCCAGGACCTAGGCCGTGGCTTAGGCATCTGGGGATCTCTGGAGAAGCCCCTCCTGAGCACGCTCTCCCCGCCGGGTGGGGTGCGGCTGGGACGCAGCCACAGCAGCTCTGGACCTTCCGACGACCGCGCCCAAACACCTGAGGGTTTCGGGAACCTGCTGATCCCACGCTGCACCCGCACAAGCCAAGCCTCCAACCCTTACTCTTGTGCTGGAACTGCACCCCCAATTCGAGGCATCCGAAAGGTGGCTGATGCTCAGTGTGGGCAGCGGAGCCCTTAAACTGAGTCGAGGTGCTGCGGACTTGGGGTCCCACTGCGAGCTCTCGGTTTTGCTGAGATTAAATCGGCCCACAGGCAGTTCACTTTTGTTTTGCAAAGTCTGTAGCATCCTTCAACTCTGCTGCCCCCTCCCCACTTCCTTTTTCTACTCTTCTCTCCTGTCCTGAACACCCTATCCCTTCTCTGAGCACCTCTGTCTCTAGTGGGCCCTCTAGCCTTGTCAAGCCTTGTCTCCCCCCATCTCCGCATCTCTCTCTCTCTCTGGTGCGCGTGCGCGAAAACACACACACACACACACACACACACACACACACACTTCCTTTTGGATTCCTTCCTTCTCCTGCCTGGTGTCCGAAAGGCGCAGGTGGTGAGTGGATCAGGCTGCAGCTTCTAGGCTGGTGGCAGGGGTTCTCCAAGGGTGAGAAGGGAGGAAGTGGCATAATTTTATGGAACAAAAGAAAACACAAAACTCCCAGCTTCGGGGTTCCCAACCAGCTCTACCTTCTCTCCCAGAAGCCCCTGCCTGGGAAGTTACCAAACCAATCCCTCCTTCCAGCTCCCCCCACCTCTCTTTTTTGGTTTCTTCTCCATTAAAGAGGGAAATACCCATCACCCATCTCCTCTCCGCTGTCACCTCCCTTCCCTCCCTGGCTTTGGGCAGGGCTGCGGAGCTCCTTGCCTGCACTCAGGGAATGCAATTGATCTTAAAGAGCCTCTTCTGTTCTGAAAAAGAATCACAATTATAATTTTAAAACATTTGTAGACATTCATTTAATTTTAGTGCCCTCTTGTTTTCCCTTTTCTTCTCCAAGGGCCTCCAGCAAGCTGCCTTGGTGTCTGCTGAGGCCTCTGTCCCAGGGAGGAGGCAGGTGACCTCTGTGACAACAGCTGGCGCTGCCTGGGAGAAGGTGGGAGAAGCTCCTGAGAGTCCGAGGAACAGCTGGAAGGAGACTGGTGGTAAAGGCACCTCTGACTCAGGCCTGCACAAAGCCACATCCAAGTTGTGTCAGAGCAGAAAAGAAAAGGAGAGAAAACCTCTCACCAAACCCCTGTGCTTTTGGTGGTAAGGTTTGAGAAATTGTGGGAAGCCACTTGGGGAGTTGAACGGGGGCACATGTCCTATCCACCCTTGCCGCTGTCCTGATCTTGAACCAGAATGTATTCCTAATACGCAATATTTAGCAGCTCTTTATGGTTTACAAATCACATTTCACATACCGCAATCTTTTATTCCTAATGATGGCTTTGGGAAGTCCAAAACATTTTAAAGATTCACATACAGGATTGGAGCAAATTACTTGCTCAAAACCATAGGTCAGGTCCAACCACAATATTATAAGCTCCTCCTGGGCTAAGCCCTCCTCTTTGCATTTTTTCTTTCTCTCCATCCTTTACCCACTCTCCCTCTCTTTTTTCCTTCCCTCCCTCTCCTTTTTTGCCTCCCTGCTCTCTCTGTCTGCCCTTCCTTCCTTTCTTCCTTCCCTTGCCATGGTGCCTCACTCATGCTACTTGAAATTCTTAACCTGGTGGCAACCACACTGGCTAACTCTCATTTCCAGTCCTTTCTACTATGACAGCTGCTAAGTTTATTTGGTGCCTCCATCAAGAGGCCTGAATTTCTCTCTTATTCCTAGTTTCTTTGCTTGCAAGTGTCCTCAACTTTTCTCTACTTCCCTCAAGAGTGGCATATTTAAACTCCTTACCCTTTTTGGCCTGATACTTTCTTTAAATTTTTAAAAATTGAGATATAACATTAATATGCCAAACACCCATGTGATAAAGTACATGAAGTTTAAGTGTACAAATTGATGAATTAAAAAAAAAAACCCTTGAATAGCTCCAATAAAATCCTTTTAGTTTCTCCCCTAGGCCACATGATGAAAAAGTGTCTTTTGCCTATTTGGAAAGAGATGGTACCTCCTTGATGTGCTGTTGTCCCATAGGAAGCCTTTCCAGGAAATCTTTCTAAGTTTCCCTCAAGGATTTAGAAATCATTTATCTCTTCCAATCCCCGACACCCAGAGCTTAAGTGACTTAATTCAATAACTAATTGGAACTTAAAAACTCACTAGGTTAGGCTTTTTCAAGGTACAAACCACAGGCCAGAATCACCTGGACACTGGTTACAATGCAGCTTCCTATGCCTCAGCCCCACCTGAGCAACCAGAAGATCTAGCTGGGGCTCAGGAATGTGCATTTGTAATCAAATGTGTAATCACATTTGAATCAAAGTGATTCTCAGCCACACTACATTTGAGACGCTCTACACTAAATGACAAACTCCTCAAACATTGCAGCCTCCAGCAGCTGGCCCAGGTCCTGGCATTTGGTAGGAATACAATGAATGTTTGTTAAACAAATTAATCCACCTTTTCTGACACAGATTAGAGTTTCTTGGACTACATCATACCATTGTAATTTGATGCCATTTTTACTCTGGGAAATCTTTACATTTCAGAGGGTTTTTTTTTTATTCAAAGGGCTTTCATTCTGATAGAGCAGGAGGGGAAAGAGGAATCGACTCTGGTGGCTTCTCAGGTCTTGGGGAAGGTCTTTTATGAACCCAATTTGGGCCATGCTGTGGCCAGGGCACACCTGCACACTGCAGTCCCTGGTGGTTTTGGAAGGGCAGGAGGGGAGCTCTGCAGGGTTGCTGGAGGGCACTCATGTGCACATCCTTCGTGGTCAGATCTACAGGATTCTCTGGGAGGAGCCTCAGAGCTGTGAAAGGAGCGAGACCACCAGATCCAGAGAGCCGGCCATGGAGTGGATGTGGAAACTGAAAATTCCTTGACTAGCCTGATTTATAGTTGATACGAAATAGATTTTCCATCTAGAAACACATCAGCTGATCCTCCTACCTGAAAACAAAATAAACATTGTGCTGTGTGGTAGTGTTGCATCTGTTCTTAGAAATAAATCATATCATATGTATGTATACATATAGTATATATAATTTTTCATATAAAAGGTTTTTCTTCTTATAAAAGTATTGTTTATATAAAATTTTGTGATGCATTAGGTGCACAAAGGAATAAAACAGTTCCTCTTAATACTGCCTCTGTGTATGGGCTCTGCAGTCAGAATGACTTGGGGTCAAATCCCAGCTTGACCACCGAATAAGGTGATCTCAGTTAAATTACTCAGTTGGCTGCTCTAAGCCATTTCCATGTATGTTGAATGAAAATAATAATGGTCCCTAACTCATAGAATTGTCATGAGTATTTAATTGAATAAGACACATGGAGCATCTAGTGTAAGCCTAGAATATACACCCAGATGCTAGCCATTTACTATGTGACTGTATCCATATAGTAGCTCATGTTCTGAGATCCTCTGGGCCTCAGTTTTCCCGTCTGTAGAATGAAGAGATTGGCCTCAAAGTTCTTTCTCAGAAAGGACTTGGAATGTGGTTCAGCCAGTGGTAAGGGAAGTTACCCCCCTTGCCAATGGCTGGGTACTACAGCCATTAGTAAGCATAGCATTTTTACCAAAAATGATAAATTATTATTTTAATGATTCGGTGGACAGAACTCAACTGTCAGTTGTCAGACAGCTCTTTGCTGTCTCTCCTTAGGGATTACCTTATCTGAAGAGAGCTCCCTTGCCCCAGGTCATGCTCTACTTCCCAGGGTGGTTTCCAAAGACAAGACAAAGAGGGAAGCCTGGTCCTCGCGTCGCAACTTTGGACAACTTTGCAGGGTCACCCCATCTTCCAAACTCCCTGAAATGCTGGCAGCTGAGGTCCCTATTGAGATTTCATGCAGTTTGACTTATTCTTCTGTCTAGCCCTGTCCTGCCACGGCTGTTGAATTGGAAGCTCTCCCTGATACACCTCCCACAGGGACAAGAGAGGATGGTGGTAATGGGTATAGGTGGTACTGTGGTAGCAGACACGGAGAAGAGAGATGGCTTCAAGGCATTTTGCTGAGATTCAGCATATCTTAGTATCTGCTTGGAAGTGAGTGGTGGGGGCCTTGATTTCAACATTGGGTCCAAGTGGAACTTTGAAACCATTTCCTGAGCATCTGAGAGGAAATTAGATATGGAACCTGAAGCTGAGAAGGATTTGGTGGGGTAGCCAAGGCAGACTTGGTTCTG